ATTCACTGTCAGCGAGGCCCCTCCCACACATTCACCGTCAGTGAGGCCCCTCCCACACATTCACCGTCAGTGAGGCCCCTCCCACACATTCACTGTCAGTGAGGCTCCTCCCACACATTCACCGTCAGTGAGGCCCCTCCCACGCATTCACCGTCAGTGAGTCCCCTCCCACACATTCACTGTCAGTGAGGCTCCTCCCACAAATTCACCGTCAGTGAGGCCCCTCCCACACATTCACTGTGAGTGAGGCCCTTCCCACACATTCACCTTCAGCGAGGCCCCTTGAACATATTCACCATCAGTGAGGCGCCTCCCACACATTCACTGTGAGTGAGGCCCTTCCCACACATTCACCTTCAGCGAGGCCCCTTGAACATATTCACCATCAGTGAGGCGCCTCCCACACATTCACTGTGAGTGAGGCCCTTCCCACACATTCACCTTCAGCGAGGCCCCTTGAACATATTCACCATCAGTGAGGCGCCTCCCACACATTCACTGTGAGTGAGGCCCTTCCCACACATTCACCTTCAGCGAGGCCCCTTGAACATATTCACCATCAGTGAGGCGCCTCCCACACATTCACTGTGAGTGAGGCCCTTCCCACACATTCACCTTCAGCGAGGCCCCTTGAACATATTCACCATCAGTGAGGCGCCTCCCACACATTCACTGTGAGTGAGGCCCTTCCCACACATTCACCTTCAGCGAGGCCCCTTGAACATATTCACCATCAGTGAGGCGCCTCCCACACATTCACTGTGAGTGAGGCCCTTCCCACACATTCACCTTCAGCGAGGCCCCTTGAACATATTCACCATCAGTGAGGCGCCTCCCACACATTCACTGTGAGTGAGGCCCTTCCCACACATTCACCTTCAGCGAGGCCCCTTGAACATATTCACCATCAGTGAGGCGCCTCCCACACATTCACTGTGAGTGAGGCCCTTCCCACACATTCACCTTCAGCGAGGCCCCTTGAACATATTCACCATCAGTGAGGCGCCTCCCACACATTCACTGTGAGTGAGGCCCTTCCCACACATTCACCTTCAGCGAGGCCCCTTGAACATATTCACCATCAGTGAGGCGCCTCCCACACATTCACTGTGAGTGAGGCCCTTCCCACACATTCACCTTCAGCGAGGCCCCTTGAACATATTCACCATCAGTGAGGCGCCTCCCACACATTCACTGTGAGTGAGGCCCTTCCCACACATTCACCTTCAGCGAGGCCCCTTGAACATATTCACCATCAGTGAGGCGCCTCCCACACATTCACTGTGAGTGAGGCCCTTCCCACACATTCACCTTCAGCGAGGCCCCTTGAACATATTCACCATCAGTGAGGCGCCTCCCACACATTCACTGTGAGTGAGGCCCTTCCCACACATTCACCTTCAGCGAGGCCCCTTGAACATATTCACCATCAGTGAGGCGCCTCCCACACATTCACTGTGAGTGAGGCCCTTCCCACACATTCACCTTCAGCGAGGCCCCTTGAACATATTCACCATCAGTGAGGCGCCTCCCACACATTCACTGTGAGTGAGGCCCTTCCCACACATTCACCTTCAGCGAGGCCCCTTGAACATATTCACCATCAGTGAGGCGCCTCCCACACATTCACTGTGAGTGAGGCCCTTCCCACACATTCACCTTCAGCGAGGCCCCTTGAACATATTCACCATCAGTGAGGCGCCTCCCACACATTCACTGTGAGTGAGGCCCTTCCCACACATTCACCTTCAGCGAGGCCCCTTGAACATATTCACCATCAGTGAGGCGCCTCCCACACATTCACTGTGAGTGAGGCCCTTCCCACACATTCACCTTCAGCGAGGCCCCTTGAACATATTCACCATCAGTGAGGCGCCTCCCACACATTCACTGTGAGTGAGGCCCTTCCCACACATTCACCTTCAGCGAGGCCCCTTGAACATATTCACCATCAGTGAGGCGCCTCCCACACATTCACTGTGAGTGAGGCCCTTCCCACACATTCACCTTCAGCGAGGCCCCTTGAACATATTCACCATCAGTGAGGCGCCTCCCACACATTCACTGTGAGTGAGGCCCTTCCCACACATTCACCTTCAGCGAGGCCCCTTGAACATATTCACCATCAGTGAGGCGCCTCCCACACATTCACTGTGAGTGAGGCCCTTCCCACACATTCACCTTCAGCGAGGCCCCTTGAACATATTCACCATCAGTGAGGCGCCTCCCACACATTCACTGTGAGTGAGGCCCTTCCCACACATTCACCTTCAGCGAGGCCCCTTGAACATATTCACCATCAGTGAGGCGCCTCCCACACATTCACTGTGAGTGAGGCCCTTCCCACACATTCACCTTCAGCGAGGCCCCTTGAACATATTCACCATCAGTGAGGCGCCTCCCACACATTCACTGTGAGTGAGGCCCTTCCCACACATTCACCTTCAGCGAGGCCCCTTGAACATATTCACCATCAGTGAGGCGCCTCCCACACATTCACTGTGAGTGAGGCCCTTCCCACACATTCACCTTCAGCGAGGCCCCTTGAACATATTCACCATCAGTGAGGCGCCTCCCACACATTCACTGTGAGTGAGGCCCTTCCCACACATTCACCTTCAGCGAGGCCCCTTGAACATATTCACCATCAGTGAGGCGCCTCCCACACATTCACTGTGAGTGAGGCCCTTCCCACACATTCACCTTCAGCGAGGCCCCTTGAACATATTCACCATCAGTGAGGCGCCTCCCACACATTCACTGTGAGTGAGGCCCTTCCCACACATTCACCTTCAGCGAGGCCCCTTGAACATATTCACCATCAGTGAGGCGCCTCCCACACATTCACTGTGAGTGAGGCCCTTCCCACACATTCACCTTCAGCGAGGCCCCTTGAACATATTCACCATCAGTGAGGCGCCTCCCACACATTCACTGTGAGTGAGGCCCTTCCCACACATTCACCTTCAGCGAGGCCCCTTGAACATATTCACCATCAGTGAGGCGCCTCCCACACATTCACTGTGAGTGAGGCCCTTCCCACACATTCACCTTCAGCGAGGCCCCTTGAACATATTCACCATCAGTGAGGCGCCTCCCACACATTCACTGTGAGTGAGGCCCTTCCCACACATTCACCTTCAGCGAGGCCCCTTGAACATATTCACCATCAGTGAGGCGCCTCCCACACATTCACTGTGAGTGAGGCCCTTCCCACACATTCACCTTCAGCGAGGCCCCTTGAACATATTCACCATCAGTGAGGCGCCTCCCACACATTCACTGCCAGTGAGACCCCTTGAAAAGATTCACCGTCAGTGAGGCTCCTCCCACACGTTCACCATCAGTGAGGCTCCTCCCATCAGATAGCTAAAATCTGGAAAGACTAAGTTTATAAAATGGAAGTGCTAATTTATGAACTATGAAATGAAAGGACTTAATTTATGAAATGGTCAGTAAAAGGAGGATTAAGAAACAAGATGGATTCTGGGAGGCGTAGCTGATCAATAGTTACACATTATACTGTTCTTTGTTCTGTTATCTCTCTCGACTTCATCATCTCTGACACATATATATTACACTAAATTGAACAACAATCTTTTTTTTTTCTAATTTGACATTTTAATTTAATTGAGAATTGTATTAAGGATGGACTTCACTCTCATCAAAAAGGCTCATTTAGTAAATGTAAGCTATTCATTTAAATGACAGACAAACACAAACTGGGTGCTTAATGCAAATGTAATTGTCCACATTTACAAACTCAGGCGATTGTGTTCGTCCATCTACACAAATGTCTCTTTATGTATAGAGACAAAAGAATGAGCTTAATCTCCATCAGTTTTAGTGATCGTGTAGATTTACAAAGATACACCACAAAACATCTGCAGCTTCTGCTTTTATTTCTAATCAAACACAAATCCTCTTTAAGCAAATGCGTTAAATCTCATCTAAATCAATTCTAATTTTGATCTATTTTAATTTGAATCTAAATGTAATCTAATTGGCTTAACTCTTTCCCCGCCGGTGTTTTGCCAGCCGCCAGCGTTTTTGCAGATTTTCACTCAAATTTCATGACACCCAGAATATTTTGTTACATTAATATCTTATAAAATGGAGAGTTCCGGTCCTTGATTCTGATTGGTTGAGCCACGTTCTAAGCTGTTGTAAATTACTCTACAAAGCTCTACAACTGATTCTAAGGAACTACATTGTTTGGGGGAAGAATTACACTTTATTTGCTCTGTTTTATTTTGTGAAACCTTACTACGCATATGGAATAACCGTATGACAAAAAGACTGACAGGCCTTTGTTATAACCAAGCTCTTTTCAAAAATAATAAAGAAGTAAATAAAATAAAAAGTAAAAAGCTCCTGGCTCCTTCAATGGTTTGTGCACACAAACACTAGTGTTCAGAATCTCATGTCGTTCAAACTCTCACTGGAATTTAACATTGGCCACCGTTTATTTAATCGAATATATCGTGTGTTTCTATGTGCATTTCTGATTGGAGCGTGTGAACGGGACTTTTATTTTGGAAGGGCTGTGTGACGTCATAAGGCTGCGCTGGTAACCAGGAGCTTGTAACTATGCAGGTCTAGTTTTGAGTGTTTTTTTCTGGCTAATCAGTTCTGTTTTAGCCTCAGAGCTGAAGTGGAAGGACATTTAATAATGTTTGTGAGCGCTACAGTCTCTGAGCAACACAGACTGAAGACATAGCCACTTTTTTAATTTAGTGTGCGTTTTTCTTTCTTGATTTTTCTCTGAAAAGCATCCACGTGACACACTATTGTAAAGATGGCGTTTATTAAAGAGGAGAGTGAAGACATTAGGATTGCAGAAGTATTCAGCATCAAACATGAAGAGACTGAGGAACAAACAGGTTGGTGTCTTTCTCAAAGCTGAACTCAGTCAGTTGAGTCTTCTTCACAGTACAGCTCTACAGTTGGGCTCTGGTGGTTGTGCCATTTGTTTTATGTGTGGCGCTCGCCACAATATCAAAACTGACCGGTTTTCCAAAAGGCTTGGTTTAAAAACCTAAAAGAGGTGCGGGTGTTTTTATATCACTGTATTTCTGAAGGAAGACTAGCTTTAGAAAATCATTTGCATGTCATATGCCTGATAAAGCAGTGTTTGTGAGCGCAGTGCTGCTGTGTGCTCAGCCGTTACTGGGGACACCTGTTTCTCCCGCTTTAAAGCACCTCCTGCTGGCAGAGAATGAATTTGCATTTTCAGGAAGTCCGTCTGCTTTACGCGGCAAACTTATTTTGCTTTTCCTATATCCACTGGCGCTGCGGATAATCCGCGGGTCGGGTAATAAAAATGCATTCTGGTTATTTGCGGGTGGATAAAATAAATCATAAATGATGCAAATATTAAGTAAATTTTTGTTCATGAGGCAGACGATTTCGTATGTGTGTGTGTTCGCCTGATCGGGAAGTTGCAGTGACTTGCAGTGTTTTGTTTTATAAATAAATGTTCATTTAAGAGCAGCCCACAATCAGCGTGTTATGTTACCGTTATCCCTTACGGCTCCGACGAGGTTTTGTTCCGTCTTGTACGCTGTGACACCTCACAATAGACTATTTTTAGCCAAGCAGCACCGCTTCAGAAACGTGCTGCGGCTGGCCGGTATAAACGCAAGCACTGACTAGAGCGGCCGCGATCAGCTCCGGTTCGTAATACGCAAGACGTAGGGCTCGACAATAAGGACTGCCCGATGGCGTGAAAGATGCTCGGGGCCAGTTGACGAATTTGTCACTGACCCAATCGGGCCGCTGTTGCGTCGTCACAAAAGTTTATCATTTGCATGTGTTTTTAAGCCTTGTTCATTTAAAAGTTCAAGCCATGAGGACTATATTTATTTTATACAGTGGGGTACAGATGCAGCGATCGACCGGCCATTTTTGTTGTATTGCATATCTTCAGTTCCGTGCGTGCACACAGATTGCACTGCAGTCATTTTCCAAAACGCCATTTGACATGTGACCAAGTATGGTGACCCATACTCGGAATTAGTGCTCACACACACAGCAGTGAACACACACACACACACACACACACACCGTGAACACACACCCGCAGCAGTGGGCAGCCATTTATGCTGCGGCGCCCGGGGAGCAGTTGGGGGTTCAGTTCTTGCTCAAGGGCACCTCAGTCGTGGTATTGAAGGTGGGAGAGAGCGCTGTACATTCACTCCCCCCACCTACAATCCCTTCCGGTACGAGACTCAAACCCACAACCTTTGGGTTACGAGTCCGACTCTCTAACCATTAGGCCACGACTACCCCACTTTCTGTTATTACGCAAAGAGGACACAAGATCACTGTTCATGATGCACGAAATATAGGAAGAAAATCCTAAATATGGAACTTTATATGAATGTGTTTCTGAGGTGAACTGGCTGTTTTCAGAAAAGTTTACATTGCGCCACTTGTCTTTAATAATGTTTGAACTTCATATTTTTTAGGCTAGTGGTTTTTGCTGGGGTAGCAAAATTAAAATCGAGGACTGTAAAATTTAATTGGTGTCTAAAATATTGGTGTCATATAAGCTTATTTATTAGAATACAAGATAACAGATCAAAAACAGTGATAACAGCAACTGTTTTATTTTAATTTTTTTGTGGGGGTCAGTGAAAATATTGGCAGGGCAAGTAGAAAAAATCCTTAGCGTTGAGCCCTGAAGACATGATCGCGTCAACACCCGTCGATGCTAACATGCTTATTTGACTAAGTCAAATAATGAGAAAGAACCAAATTGCCTATCACAGCTATGCAGATGATGACATTTGGCCGTGCAAGCTCACAGGCAAGTGGCTTATTTTGAAGCAAACAACCTAAAGTAAGAACTGCAATAGTGTTTTTTTGGCTGATTACAGCACACAGATGTAGTAATCGAGATAGGAGTGCGATGCATGTGTTTTCTTGTTGACGGAAGTCAACTCCGTCATTATGATTCTTTTGAGAACTACTGTGAAAAGTGTTGGATAAACAACATAAACTGCATAGTTACAGTCTGGAGAATGAGTGTTTTCATTTGATATGTGACTTGCCTATGTTTGGTAAGTTTGTGCGATATGAGTATGATTTTTATTCGTACGATCCAGACGAGGGGGGGCCGGATGTCGGGGGGCAAATTCAGACCGTAATTGTTATTTTATATAACATAAATGCAAAATTGTTGCAGCTTTTATGAAAGTTTAGATTATAAGCTTTCAAAATATATCATAACACTTGCAATATTATCAAAAAAACATGCGCGATGACACAATTTCTGTACCGGTATTGCGACCTGAAAGGGGTAAAATACATTTACATTTAGACGTTTTGCAGATGCTTTTATCCAAAGCGACTTACAATACATAAAGCGATTCATCAAAGAGGCAAACAGTCACAGGAAGTGTTCGCAATAGCAAGTTTCAGGCATTGTTTAAATCAGTACAAGCTAGAAATGGAAGGAATAAATAAAGATGGGGCTCCAGACTCATTCTTCCCACTGGTCGCTCTTTTGCGACTAACTTTCTCAGTTGGTCGCACGAGCACATGATTTGGTCACAATTTTTTATTTTTTTTGTGCTACAACATGCGATTAATCCATGCATGCTGATGAACTTTTATCATAGTTTTTAGTTATATGGAAACGAACGTGGTTAACATTCAGCCCATTCTTTTTCATCAGTAGTATTATTTGTAATTTGAATTTTGTGAACGGAAGATCCTCTTTTGCTGTGTTATAAGCTGGGCTTCGGATGCTTTCACTTTTTTTTTTTAACTTTAGCTTTAGCTTGAAAACCATCCATCGTTTCCTCAATATTCATGTCATTTTTGCTGCGCGCACCTTCGCGCTCGTGCTGACGAGGCAAGTATAAACTAGGCTCTACACTATAAGCGCTGCGCAGTTCAAACAAGTAGCGCGGCTTCGTTACGCTTTCAGATTCGTTCGCTGTTTGATGTTTCTCATAAAGACAGACTGACTGGATGCGCTGTTAACGAAATCGCCTGTGCATTAATTTTAAATAGAATCAGAATCAGAATGAGCTTTATTGCCAGGGATGTTTACACATATGAGGAATTTGTTTTCGTGACAGAAGCTTCCACAGTGTAACAGAATGACATTGACAGAACAAAAAACATAGAGAATAAAAAATAGAACAAGTAAATAAGGAATAAAAATATATAAATCGACAATTGTATGTGCAGGTATATTACAATAGACAGTTTTGTATGTACAGGTAATGTATATTTTGTGCAAATTTGAGGTGTATACTGAGTATGAGTGTCAGATAAATAAATGTATGAGTGTATAAATAGTGTGTGTTCCACAGTTATTGTCAAGTGTTCATGAGATGGATTGCCTGAGGGAAGAAACTGTTCCTGTGTCTGGTCGTTCTGGTGCTCAGTGCTCTGTAGCGTCGACCAGATGGCAACAGTTCAAAGAGGGAGTGTGCTGGATGTGAGGGGTCCAGAGTGATTCTGCCAGCCCTTTTGCTCACTCTGGATAAGTACAGTTCTTGGAGAGAAGGGAGGGTTGTACCAATGATTCGCTCAGCAGTCCGGACTACCCTCTG